CCCCAAAACCCCAAAACCCCAAAACCCCAAAACCCCTCCAACTTGGCTTCAGCTTGAAAATTTGGATGTGGGATGTATATGAATTATCTACTATTCTTTACTGCTTTAGCAAGGGTCATCATGGCTTGAGCTACAGATGCTTTTTGAAGAGAGGTCATGTTAGCCTTTTGTTTGCCTTTCTTTCCTCTGTGGGAACTTGATTTACCTGCAATAGGCTTGCTCTTCCTGATTCCTGTTTTGTTAGTCTTTGGTCTTGCACCACTGAGCCGATCGTTACTCATGGATTTCTTATGACACACGCTAGATGAACGAAGAGGATTTGAGTAGGAGTAGTTTGGAGGGTCTTCTAAACTGTGTTCACGATGATCAATTTTAGTCAAGGCCCTCCTTTGGTCAAAGGACTTAAAATTCATCTTTTTAGCTGAGATGCGTTTGTTAGCTATCCGTTTCTTAGACATCTGTGTTACTGAGGCTTTTATGAAAGCTTTAGCTGGATAGTTTATAACCTTCTCTTTCTTTGTAATTGATTTTCCACTTCCCCTTATCTGGTTATCAAGGTAATAATCAAAATGCTTATTCGGATTCTCAAGGTATTCATTGACTAAATTGTAACTCTTCCTTGTATTTACAGAGTTCTGAGCATGAGGATCTAAGAATAAGACGTAACAATTACCAATAAAGAAGGTCTGGTCATGAGATTTTCATATTTTTCCTTTCAAACTATGAGAAGCATGTGATTTACTTCTCTTATGGCTATCGTCAATGGAATTATGATGGCATGATTTATGAGTGAATCTATTAGGTGAGACAATTATACACATACGACAATTCACAAGCATCTTTATGGTTTTTAAAATACTCTATTTTGTAAGGATTATTCTTCTTCATTGATCCTGGCTTAGACTTATCAGGAATCTTAGTAGACATATCAGAGAAAGAAATCAATGGATCATGCATTTCATTGCTGCTAGTTTTAGTACTACCACTAGGAATTGCCTTTAACAGGTATTTTAATTTATTATTCTTCACAGCTTTCTGAGATTCATCTTTGAGAAGTATAAGGTCACTTCTTGGCATTTTGCCATCTTTTTGAATATTTTTGTTAGTGATCAAAAAGGTTTCAAGCTCTTTGACTTTTTCCTCAAGCACTTTCTGTTTAGCATTGCCTTTATTGATCGAATTGACATATCCTTGTTCTTTGAGTTTCCATTCTGCTCTATTTTTCTTTATGTATATTTCTGTAAGAGTCAAGTTCTTTTTCTAATTTCATATTGCTGCTCTTAATATTAGTGATTTCTTTAGCCATTATATCACATTCACTTTCAAACTTCTCAAGCTCTTCAATTTTTGACTGATAACTCTCGATGTACAGTTTCATCTGTTGTTGGACCTAGGAGTCAGAACTATTGTAAATACCGAGATGTGGTTTCTGACCTCAGCTTCTAACTTCTGGATAATCTCCTCATACTCTTCAGGGACCTGAGAAGAACCAGAGAGGTTGTTCTTGCCATGTTTTGATGATTTATTCTATATATTTTATTCTGATGATGTACTTTGTTCTCAGATTCTTCTAATTTTAGCTTTATTATGATTTCAATTGACGATTTTATGTATTCTATAGTGTAGGTTAACAGAGTAATAGTACCAAGAAGTTGGATGGAGTTCACATTTTTGAGTTTGTCCAGCTCTTTGTCTACTTTTTCACTATCAATGGTTGCTCCCTTCTATATATTTGTTAGCATAACTACCTATTTTGATGATTTGGGAGAAAATTAGCAAGATTATTAGAGATATAATTTTTCTTTCATAAGTATTTCTAACCGAAAAATAAAAAGCAAAAGCAATATCATATGAGAAATGGTTCAAAACTGGAGCCAGATTTATATGTAACTTACATCTTGGAAGTTGCGAAGTTTCAAGTTGAGATACATCTCCAATAATCAATCATGAATAGAAGATAACCTCTGCTCATTTGTATACTGTTCCCATTCTTGTTGTGTCGGATAGAATGAGTCATTGCTCTGACTATGAACACTTTGTTTCAAATGACTATCTTTTTCAGACATTATCAATTATAATTTTGAATTAAGGGGTTTTGGGGTTTTGGGGTTTTGGGGTTTTGGGGTTTTGGGG